TACCTCGTCATTAATAAGTACCTCGAGGTGCTTTGAAATTATGTGTTTCTCCTCAGAGTTTCACCCACTAGTTTTAGCAGCCATCTATCTTCCCTGTAGCGAGTGTAGCAGTTACACTGTGATGTTTGTCTAAGGGTGATTTTTCTAGTTCCTTCTACAGTTTATACTAAAAATGTATAAAATGTAGAATCCTTGTTCGGCTGCCTCCTGCACGCCCCCTACTGGGGATCGAACCCAAAATCCATTTTAATATTTTAAAATGCCTTTAGTAAGAAATGGAATGTAAAATTTTTGAGCTAATGCACAACTTCAAATCAGTTTGAGCTTAGGGGTGGGTACAACACCCCCAGATCTCCCAGAGGTGAGAAAGTGCTTCTTTCTTTTCTCAAGGAAATAGTTTGAGAAACACTGTTGGTAGGAGAAGGGCAATGGAGTCAGACAAACCTGGGCTCAAATCCTGATTCTACTTAAGGAAAAAAGATTATATATATATAATTGATTTCAGAGAGGAAGGGAGAGGGAAAGAGATAGAAACATCAATGATGAGAGAGAATCATTGATCAGCTGCCTCCTGCACGCCTCCTACTGGGGATCGAGCCCGAAACTTGGGCACGTGTTCTTGACCGGAATCAAACCTGAGACCTTTGAGTCGAGTGGGTGGGGGCGTGGGGGTCCCAGCAGGAGCTGACCTGCTGCCCTCTCCCTGCCACAGGACAAAGCTGGTGCTGGAGAACCTGGAGGACGCCTGCGTGCTGACCGGGCCGGACGACTCCCTGTGGGACAAGCACGCGTGCCCGGCCTATGTGGGACCCGAGATCCTCAGCTCGCGGGCATCCTACTCAGGCAGGGCGGCGGACGTCTGGAGCCTGGGCGTGGCGCTCTTCACCATGCTGGCCGGACACTACCCCTTCCAGGACTCGGAGCCTGCCCTGCTTTTTGGCAAGATCCGCAGGGGGACCTACGCCCTGCCCCGGGGCCTCTCCGCCCCAGCCCGCTGCCTGGTCCGCTGCCTGCTCCGCCGGGAGCCCGCTGAGCGTCTCACAGCCTCGGGGATCCTGCTGCACCCCTGGCTGCGAGAGAACCTGACCCCCTCAGTCCCATCCCGAGCCCACCTCTGGGAGGCTGACCAGGTGGTCCCCGAAGGGCCAGGGCTGGAGGAAGTTGAGGCAGAGGAGGGAGAAAGGGAAGTGGGCCTATATGGCTAGGACTACCCTACCCGACTCTCAGCTGTGAACTGTGGATTGAGTTTGGGGCGTCCCCAAGCTCTCTCCTGCCTCTTTGAACTGAGATGAACCCTAAGTGCCTTGTAGGAGGGAGAAAAGAGGAGGCATGTTGAAGTGTGCTGCAGGCACGCCTGTGTGGTCCACACACCTGTTGGGAGCTCACTGTGTGCCTTGTTCCAGGTGCTGAGAACACAGCTGTGAACAAGAGACAAAACTCCGGCTCACAGGGCTGTCAGTCCTTCTCCATCCCCACAGGCCAGTGTCTGCACTGGGCTGGGTACAACCAGTGCAGGTGACGGCGTCCACTCGTGCTGGCCGCCCCCCCCCCCCACACTGCTGTCACGGACAGTCCCTTTCACGACCCACCCAGCTGCCTTTGTATGTTGCACCTCTGAGAAAGGGAAGCGTCCTGTGCCAAAGCCTTCAGGCCTCTCCCCTGCACCTGAGGCCCAGAGCCCAGGCCCTGCTGCGAAATCCGCTCCAGCCGCTGTGTCCTCTTGGTCAGGGGATCCTCTGTCCAGGCCTGAGCCAAGGGTCTGGGCTGGCAGATCAAGAGTCCAACCTGTGAGGCGGGTTCTTCATCCAGCTCAAGGAGTGGTTGGGAATGAGGGTCCAGGCCTGTCCGCCTCAGCAGCCGTGACCCGAGCTGCTGACTGGAGTTGGGGGACAGGATTAGGTGGGGTCTGCCCCTGGCCTCCTGGAAAGTCCTAAGTCCAGTTCTGGGGACACTTGGGGTCCAGAACCCCACATCAGCAC